ATCTAGAAAATATTTTTGCAACCTATATATATATACATGTTAGGTGCTTGCATTGTTTGGCAATCCGACGAGCAAGCCTTAGCTGAGCAGCCTCAAGGCATCATGTTAATGCAGAAACCTAAACAAAATTTCATAATATAAACTAAATAACTTCAATGTTCAGATTCTTTTGTATTAATGTAAAGAACTTCATCAAGTTGTACAAATTAACGAACATATAAATCCAGGACAACTAGCTAGCCACATTCTTTTTCTGATCTAGATTTGTACACATCAACTAGATACAATCCATATAGACAAAAAGAACCAAAATGTGCTCATGTACAAAGAAAATAACATAGCCAGTATAGGAGAATAAGCCCACAAAACAAAAAATACACATATAGTTAACTTTGCTAGTTGTGTTCGTAGGAACATGTTCCCAACCCAAAGAGTGAACACGGAAAACGGAGCGATACATTAACACGTGATTAATTAAGTATTTGTAATTTTTTTTAAAAAATGGATCAATATGATTTTTTAAGCAACTTTCGTATAGAAACTTTTTTAAAAAACGCACCGTTTAGCTGTTTGAAAAACGTGGTGCGGAAAACGAAAGTAGGGAGTTGGTAACAAGGTCTTGCAAAGAGCCATTAACTTTGGGCATACTCTCTCGAGTCTCAATTGTAATTGGTCTGTTGTACTTGTACTATTTTGATGCAACCATTAGGCCTGTATGGCCTATTGTATAAACACCATGGCTCAGGCTTGCTGAACTAGGGCCTAGTATATGTTACTTCATCCGTCTTAAAATATAACAACTTTTAACCCTCACGATTTATCCTAAAATATAACAACTTCTACATCAACATTATCTTTCCAACTAATCACAACCCTCCACCACTCACTTCTATATATTTTCTTAATAACCATGTCCAACCCTAAAACTTCTTATATTCTGGGACGAAGGGAGTAATACATATGTGCTTGGCATCGACTGGGCGCTTTGAATAGAGACTGAAAAGTTGACTTTTTGAACCATAGCTCGGATGGACGATTGGAGACTCTGGATTCGTAGACCTCATCGAGATGTAAATCCATTTTAGTCTGGCCGTTTGGACTTTGGAGATTTGTAGGCTTCATTCTTCAAAGCCTCAGCACCACCTGGTAGTTGCTTCATTCTTCCGTCGTTGGCTACTGCCTGATCGTCACCTGCTCGCCTGTGTATCCGTAGACATTGTCATCGCTAACCATCTTCTAGCTGTAACTTATAGATAGAAATATGCTGTAAGACAGTAAGAGGAGGAGTGATCAGCTGCTTTAAGAAAAAAAAAAGCACTCATCAAGAAGGTAATTTTATATAATGTGTTTTATTTAACAAAAGATAAGTTAAAATGCAATTTATAATACTAAGTCGTACAGTATTATATACATCGACAAATTACATCATTAAAAATAAATTAACTTCAGTTGTTATCATGAAGATCAAGGATTAACAAATCGTCTGAGTGAGCCGTACTAACGGAGGGAGTATTTGATATGGTTGTGACTTTTGGGTTGCAGAATTTCCAGAGGGCAGTACACTGTACACTCATGCATATTTGTAGGAACTAAAAAGAAAAGAAAGAACAACGACAATGACAGTATTAAACCATGCCTTTGCCCAAGATAACACATGCATACCCTCATTTCAATGACACAAAGGGTTCTACTATATCATCGTCTACAAAATCATCCTTGCAAGTACATCTTACAATACCGTGTTTAAAATTTTCTGTTATTGATTAGCGTTTCTATTTTTCACAAATACTAATACTCAAATTCTTCAATTGCTGAACATCATAGATAAGGTTTCATCTATACCATTAATAATAGAATACCATTAACAATAGAATGGTTATAGTCACGTGAATGTGTGACTTCCTAAACTAGTATTTTAGGAAGAAGGGAGTACTAATTAAGCAGGTTTTTTTTTCTAAAGAGTTGGATTCAGTAATCATCTCATTTTTCAGTGGTTTCAATGTCTACTTTCTCTTAGTATGAAACAATGGGATTCCTTGTTTCATGCCTGACTAAATTACACCCGTAAACAAACATAGTTTTGACAAACTGTACCTTAAGTCAATCTGGTGGAAGATTGCTGACCAATGTATAATCAAGTGTCCAAGGAAATATCAAACATGTCAACCGAGCTGATGGGGTCATGAGAGAATACATGGCCATCCCCTTAGACTCTTCTACAGGACAGAAAACTACATACATGCATGTTTTTTTTTTTACTACATGGAGGATAGCAAGCATGGTGGATGATGCAATTTGCAAAAATGTGTTTTTGGAAGCATCGGACAGTTTCACACCAAGTGGTTTTACTTGTACTTCTTTGATGCCTCTAAGTAAACTATGAGGATAATGCTGAAGTTCTCTGACAAAACATCCAGGAGAAAGTTTCAGTCTACAGTACTCCCACTAATCTGGCAGGTCAACACTCAACTATCATTTTCTTTCAGTCTTCTAAATTTGTCGTTTTAGGCTTACATTATCACGGACACGCTTCTCATACTAATAAACGATGTGATCTTTTTTTAAAAAAAACTTTCTACATATAAGGTTTTTTTTAAAGAAAATCAAATAAATCAAAATTTGAAGTATATAATAGTTAAAGCTTAACTAATCATATGCTAATTGAGTTTCTTCCCTGGCAAGCCAACCGGTGCCATTGACTGTAAAAACTCTGAACATCAATAGTCTTCTAAACCCAATATTTAAATACTTTTTTAAAAAATTACTACAATGGATCTGTTGCTAGCAACTGGGTCTAGAAGATTGGAACTCTTCTTCTCTTTGCTTTGAATCTTTTCCATTTTTGTTTTGGCAAGGAGCAGAGCATGCTGACTTTGGTGATCACAGGAAGAAGAAAAGGCTCCAGTGGTCAGGATTTCACCTTCCAGGATGAGAACCCAACAAAGATGAAAATATTGGCTTTGCTTTCCAGTAAATTACTGAGTGACAGGTAAAAATATCAAGCCGAATCTACCGCGCATGTACCGTTACGTCAAGGCTTTTGACAAAGTTCTTGCATGATCCTAGAAAAAATTACTGTAAAATCTGTAGTTTACCCATTGTTCAAAGCTTGTGATAGCAACATTTCGTCCAATCTGACAGATGAAAATGACTAGGATTCTTCATTTCTTTGTTAGGTTACCCATTGCTTGACGGCTCATAGAAACAGAGTATTTGTATTTGAAAGTTGGACTTACATAGGACAAAAACATGCAGTATAATTAATTTTAGATAGAGGAGTTTATGAAAAAAAATATAAAACGAATAAGCTGTAAAAAAACAGTTTAGAGAAAATATTTACCATGTAAATTTTTTTCTCTGGAGGTTAGAGAGTCATGAAAGGGTCAATTTGTGGCCCCATACACATGATTTTAACCAAAATTAACTCCACCAAGGCACCAACAGCCACCAAGAAAAACCCTCAAATCCTCCTTTTGAACGAACTCTTTAATTAAAGTGGCCTTTTGTGAGCACCCTTGAAAAATTCTTTTCATCAGTTCGTCTTACAAATCTACAGCTGTTGACTGAAATATATTTCTCGAATTTATCCTTTCTTCAGGCCGAATATGATGAACCCGACTCTCAAGTACTTTTCAAAAGCTGGAAATGTTCAAAGTTCGTCATTCCTTTTTCATTAGTACATCTTGAAAGATTGATTCGTTCTCCGTATTATAAATCCTCGAATTGCTAATTAATCCACAGCATCACTGTCTACACTGTGACTAAATCCTATGGCTGTACAGTTGCTTGGTATGAACGGTATGAGATTCTTGGCTCTAGCTAAGTAGTTACTAGTAGTTAGTCGTGCAACTAGCTACAAAAAGATGGTAACTGTCCAACCTAATCAGAAGCTTCTTCGATTATAATAAGCACTTATGCCCATTTAATTTAAGTTTTTATTTTGATATGCATTGTTGCAGTATTTGATAAAGGATCACGAGGTGTCGAAATTTTAGTGCTAATTTCCACAACGCGAGAAATTCGAGTTGTCTTTAGCAGATTGAATTGAGAGTTATTTGAATCAATAATTTTGTAAACACTTCATACATCAAGAAATTATTCTTTTATTTGCTAAAATGTACTCCATCCATTCTAAAATATAAGACATAGTTAAACTTGACATGATGTCTTCAAAACTACTATTTGACTTTCAGTTTCTCACATAATATAATGTTCGTAGCAACAAATTAAATCATAACTATAAAAAGCTAGTACATTCAAATATCAATCCAATAACATTGTTTTTATTTATCAAATAAATTAAATTTATATTTGACTAATTGTTTTTCAAATATTATGAGAGTTGAATCTTAAAATGCATTGACATCTTATAAGTTGCACTAAGGGAGTAATTTGGGTTGCATGTCTCAGTTGGAAGAAATGAGTAGCACACCTCTACCAAGTCAATCAATATTATCTGCCTTTGACTTGGTAGAATGTCAATTTCCCATATATGTGCATTGCCTCTGAATAAACTGAGACTCTAATTAAGGTGTTCAACGGCCTCCCACAACTCTGAAAACCACGTGCTACATATATATTCAGGCCTACCACTAGTATATATAACAATGTGATAATTTTACTTCGAAATAAATTAATCCTTCCTGTATTTAATTTGCTGTGGCGAGATCGAAATAAAGTATCGTCGTCACTGAAGAAAAATCTCCTGATTCGACATATAATTGAGTTGAGCAAGTCATCAGAGGTACGACGATTTATCTGCAGAGACCCATAGGGAGAGAGAGGGTTCAACTCGATTGACTTAGACTCAGCTTGCTCAGACAAAAATTTCCAGCATCTTATTATTATCCCAGGCTATAGCTTTGTCTAGTATAATTAATCATCAAATGTGTTCTAATATGGTCAAATATAGCACATTAATTTATTAATACAGCAGCCATGGCCATACTTCTCCATCACCATATGTAAGCAACTATGTATAGCTAACACTAAACCTCATACACTATATATAACTAGCTGTATATAGGATCAAACAAGTTATTATAGCTCTGTCCAATTAAGCTAGCTAGCTAGCTACTACAAGATTAAGCCATGGAGGAGGAGAAGAGGTTGGAAAGGATTATTAAGGAGATTGACAGTCCAATTAGCCCAGGAGGAGGAGCAGCTTTATTAGCAGAAGATGATGATCTGGTGTTTCCAGGGTTTCGATTTCATCCGACGGATCAAGAGCTCGTGGGGTTTTATCTGACAAGGAAGGTGGAGAAGAAGCCTTTCAGTATTGACATCATCAAGGAGATCGATATCTACAAGCATGATCCCTGGGATCTTCCAAGTAGGTTACTTCAATTTTGTTCTTAATTTTAAGAAAAAAACTGGTGTACGTGCAAGTTATGTTCTTAATTGATTTGAACATATCCACACATGTATACGCATCATTATATGTGCACTGAAAAGTAAGAGGGGATAAAATCAGGATTCAGGGCATGAAACCGTATTACTTTTCTGATCTCATGTTCTTCCTTTGTGCATATCAATTAGTTCATCTTACTTTCAAGAAGATTATAAGAATATGATGCAAGATATATTAATTGTGATACCAGAGGTTAAATTTTTGTCACACTTGGTGGTGAAGGTTAATAATATGACTAGTATAGGCGAATCGTCATGCATGACTAATTATCTCCTGCAATTGAAACATTCATAAAATCATGCCTATGTGTCATTTAAATTTAGTTGGTTCTGTAACTGAAAAAAAAAAGGAAATTCAGTCATAAGTGGTAGTATATACTAGCTATCAGTTACAATTTGTATCTCTGAATAATCCTCTCTGATCGATCGATCGTGAATAAAAATTAAACACTGAACAATTAACACACAATCAGAGATTTGAGAGAATAATTGATATATATCAGCAAAGTCAGATAAAAATGATGAACAACGAGCCATGCATGCATGCATATCAACCAAATTCTAATGTTGTGCTTGTGAATGCAGAGGTGAGCCATGGCGCGGTGGCGCTGCAGGGCTCGTCGTCGTCGTCGTCGTTGTCGACGGCGGCGGCGGCGGAGAAGGAGTGCGGCTATTTCTTCTGCCTTCGAGGGAGGAAGTACAGGAACAGCATCCGCCCCAACCGCGTCACCGGCTCCGGCTTCTGGAAGGCCACCGGCATCGACAAGCCAATCTACTCTTCCTCACTCGCCGCCGCCGCCGCCGCCGCCGGTGCCGGCGACTGCATTGGCCTCAAGAAGTCTCTCGTCTACTACCGCGGCAGCGCCGGTAAAGGCACCAAGACAGATTGGATGATGCACGAGTTCCGACTCCCCTCCTCCATCTCCGACTCCGATCACCTCCAAGACGCATCAGTATGTCAGGTTTTTTTCGTGAACACGCAAAAGATTGCACGTCAATATATTAGAAGGAAAAGATTTTTGATACACAACGCAATCGGCTAGACAGGCACATCATTGCGTCACTAGCTAGCTAGCTTAATTAGCTACATCGATCGTCAGAATGATCTCTTATATATATATACACCTTTAATTTGTTCTGAATTGAATTCATGGATAGTACTGGTCATGCATCATCTCGATCAATGGCATGCAGGAGACATGGACGATTTGCCGGATCTTCAAGAGGAGCATGACCTACACCAAGGGCAGGGCGGCGGCGGCAGCAGCATCCATGAACAAGCGAATTAGCCATGAGCTTCAGCACATTCATCATCATCAGCAGCAGCAATTCTACTACCACGAGGTAGTCCATGACGGCCATGGCCACCACCATCGTCGCCACCTGCAGCACTACGCCGGCAGCGCTTCCATGGCAGCGGCGGCGGCCAACATCGTCGACGTCATCGATCACTCGTCGGACGCCGAGACGACGACGAGGTCTCACTCTCACTCTCAGTCTCACCTCGTCGCTGACATTCGTCATCGTCAGTCGCCGTTCATGCTCGACTTCCATGCTGGGACGGCGTCGTCGTCGTCGTCGACGGCGGCGGGGTGGAGCGAGGTGATGAGCTTCAGTAGGGATGGCGGGAGCAGCAGCGGCAGTAGCTGGGACGAGCTGGGGAGGATCATGGATATCTCTACCAATTCTGCTAATAATAATTACTACTTGTAATAAATTAATTAATTGACGCAGATCGAACAACTATATGTTAGCTATAGCTTGCATTACTTTGATATTAGTATGAGTAACCAAACATTTAATGTAAATTTAGTATCTCTTGGTATCTAATATCAAGAGATACCAATTTTACAGTAGAAAAAGTAATACCTTATGTTACCCTTCTCAAGAACTGTAAAATTGCTCCATTAGTATGCTACTTATACGTATGTAACTTTGCTAGTCTCGGCTCAGTATGTACATATGTAATTAACTGTGTGTATTACATGTTAATTATATATATGCATGAGAAAAAGTTAGCAGCATTGCATGATTTGCATCTACATTCAGGCTTTGAAAGTTTGTATGCTTCTTAGCTAGATTGTACATTAGTACTCCCTCCGTATTTTAATGTATGACGCCGTTGACTTTTTAACCAACGTTTGACCACTCGTCTTATTCAAAATTTTTATGCAAATATAAAAATACTTATATCATGCTTAAAGAACATTTGATGATAAATCAAGTCATAATAAAATAAATTATAATTACATAAATCTTTTGAATAAGACGAAAGGTCAAACGTTTATTAAAAAGTCAACGGCGTCATATATTAAAATATAGAGGGAGTATATGGGAAAATTGTTCTTATGCCACATAGTTGCAATATTTGCCGATGTATCATATGCTAACATAATAATAAATAATAACTAGTAAAATAGTACTCACTAATTACAAACACAAATTGTTGTAAGGTATCTTAGTAACTACTAGCTAGCTAAGAAACACTAAATATATATAATGATATAATGACATTCTACATGAATAAGCTAAACACGAGTTTTGGCTCGCTAGGCAACGAGCTAAAAGCCTAACGAGGGTTCATAAAATCGCATGGTCATCACATGGTTATTATGTACGGTAATCTTCTTACTTTTGAAACCAAGGTAATACTCACGGTAACTGTACGGTTTTCATGGTAACCGTGGTAACCGCCTTACCGAGGGGAGATGATAACCCCACCCAAAATGGTTTGGTGAACCATGAACCTAACTCAATCGGTTCAGCTCATTATAAGTACATGTTTTAGCTAACCAAGCCAAGTTCGATATGATTCGATCTAAGACTATAAGCCATGAGTTTCGAGAATTTTCTTTTTCACCCATATTTAACATGGTAAAGGTGTAGAAAGTGGAAAAACAGTAAATTCCACTTCATTAAATTTAGTGGTGGCAACTAGCAACATGTTGTTTTGGTGTGTATGTATAGATCGTTCAAGCAGTACTAGCAAGACCAGGGTTTACCAAACCATTTTAGGTGGAGTTACCGTTACCCTACGATAAGACGTTTATCACGATAACCATGTGGTTACTGTGAGAATTATCTTGGTTTCAAAAACTGGGAAGGTTACCGCGCGTGATAACCGGTAACCGTGTGATGACTATGTGGTTTTGTATACCCTAAGCAAGACAGTATAAAGCAAGACAGTGTAGTAATAACTTTTCCAAAACAAGGCTGGCCAGTCTCCACTCATAAAACAATATAAGATGGTTGGCTAGTTCTATGTATTTAGAGGTATATTAGTAACTTCTATCTTCATTATACTCAAATATGCCTTTCGGATTGACCAATGAATTATACTCAAATATACCTTTCGGATTGACCAATGAATCAACAGTAAAATCCCTAATTCACCTTCTCCACAAATCACAGCCCTACAAAGAAAATCTAGTCCTAAAGATATGTCTGGACATCATGGTACATCCTTAGAGCATCAGCAATGCTTAAGGTGTTGGTGAAAATAAGGTAGGTCCCACCATACCCTATGTCCATAGCCACAATGTTTAAAGCAAGAATAGATGTTAAGATGGGTCCCACATCTATGTAAACAAATTCTACTTTAAAGTAGGTCCCACCATACCATAATCTATTATCATACTCTTTAGTGTGCACGTGTGCTTTATCTCATTATTTTATTTCTTAAGGTTGAACCATAAGCTTATGGCTATTTTTAGCATTTAATGTCTTATGGCTAGTATCCACAATGTATATGGCTAGTCATAAGGTCTTATGGTTCATTCTTATGACACATTGTGGATGTCCTTGGAATTATATATATATTTTAAAAATAAAAAGCACCAGTTCATCTAACACCTCTCTCTCCTGACCCTTAGATCTGTTCATCTAACGGTTTATATCAAAAGTTGGATCAACCCCTGCAATTAGCGATTCCCACGTGGTAAACAGCGGTTAGGGGAAAAAAAGAAACAATTAGCGATCTCCCACTTCTAAACAGCGGTTTTTTTTTTTGCGAGGGTCTAAACAGCGGTTAGGGATCGGTCAAAGAAAAAAGAAAGGGAACGCTCCCTTTTGTGCTCCAGCGCGCCGCCGCCTTCTCCCGCCGGAGCCGCTCGACTCCTCCTAGAGCGCGCCAGCCCGCTGCCGCCGCCTCCCGCCGGAGCTGCTCGCCTCCTCCTCGCGCGCACCCGCCGGAGCCGCCTCACCCTACCCGCCGCTGCCTGCTTCCCTGCTCGCGCCGCGCCGCGCCGCGATGGAGAGGAAAGAGAGGCGGGTTCTGCACTTCTGCTCCCCCTACCCCGCTGACTCCTCGCGCGCGCCGGCGCGCGGGCCGGACATCCGGGTGCCGCCCGCCGGAAAGGGGATATGAGGTGGCGGAGAGTCTTGCTAGGAGGAGAGGGGGCCATTGGAGGAGGGCTGGAGGTCGCTGCGCATGGCCCGTCAGCATCGGCGAGGTTGGCTGGGCAAGAGGCGAGCGCCAACAGAGGTGCCGGGGAGGAGCAGGCCGCCGGCGCGGTCGTAGGAGAGGGTGCCGACTGGAGGTAGAGCCGACGACCCCTAGGACCGCTACCTGTGCCACCACTGCTGTCATCATCAACATCCTGTATAATTTTTCATTGTTGTTGTTATCAGGGATGCGCTGGAACGAGGGCACAGGACTAGGGCCGTTGGACATCATTCATGCTAGCAAATAAGGACACCAGCAACACCAGCAACAGGTGAGGTTGATGTTCTATATTCATGCTTGCAATGTGTTTGATGAAATGCTTAGCTAGCACTAGCATCATCTCCTGTTTACAATTTGACAATTTATAGATGTCATACTGACCAAATTTCTGGTTGATTGTTTGCTGCTTTCAAATTAACAATTCAATGGTTCTTAGTGTATTCTACTTAACCTTTGCATTTGTAGTACTGTAATTCTGAAGGTAGAAAACAAGATTTCTACTGAACTTCGTCGATTTAAGCAAAGCTTTTGAACATATGGTCATCCATTGAGGCTCCCGCAATTCCAGTTTGCAAAGCTTTTGAACATATGGTCATCCATTGAGGCTCCCGCAATTCCAGTTTGCATGTTCTGCCATCATTTTGGATCATATTTTCCATGCTTATGGAAGGACATAATGAACTGTAGTTTGTGTTGGCAGTGATCTCCATTGGATGTCCCGTCTCTTAGCTGGTCGTCAATGATACAACCAGGTCACGCATGAGGTAGCAGTCCCCTCCAACCCAGTTGCTGAAGACTTGTCTCATCTGGTTTCATTGATGCGTGCGAGTGAGGCACATGCTGTCCAGGTCAAGGTACAGGCAAGTCGGTTTCTTGCACTCAATTTTTTTTCATGCTATTTTTGTGAATGTTGGAGATTTCTATTCATGGAGCAACAATGTTTTTATTTTCCTTTTATCAGTGTCATAGCATTCTTCAAATCCAGGTTAGTATTATAGGGATTTTATCTATTTTGCATACATTGTGCCTGTAAATTTTTGCATGAAAATGTATCCAAGAGCACAAGTAATTTCGAGTTTAGTAAATTAGTACAGGTTTCTCTTGAGAAGTAAAATCTTTTCTCTCAAGATATATATGTGTGTTTTCTTAGAAAAAATTCCATTTGGAATATAGTAGTAAAATCAATTAGGATTGTCAAATCAAGGCATAATAGTAAGATATAGTTTGCACAGCTAGCCCTCTTAATTTCTATTAGTGCCACCTACTTCTTAATTTCTTACGCTGATGTCTGACAAAATTTTGTTTGGTTCCTTTCTACAGTAAAACATCAGCTTATGAGATCTGAAAGCAACAAAAGGGTACCAACTTTACACCCATGTAAAATACAGTGATTTCAGTCCGTTCTATGTAGCTATTTTGATTTCTTCACCTTCACACTCTTATGAGAGCTGAAAGCTATAAGTAGGGTACCAACTTAATACCCATCAGAAATCCACAGATTTATGTCCTTTGTTTTATCAACTTAGACTTTGTTTCAATAGAGGACATCAAGTTTGTGCTAGAAATGATAAACACCAACTGGATGGCCATGTGGGACATCAAGAACATCATACAAGCACCTCACCAGCACATGGCTATGATCAAGAGGGGTTTGCTAGAGACCTAGAGTAAATCCATTGAACTTTGTTGAACTTTAATTTTTAATCCGCGTGTACTGGCTCTATAAACAGTGAAGATGGATTTGCTGGGCATGATCCTATTACACGGTTTGAGTTTTTCTTGCTCCTACTTACCATAATCTACATCAAGTGAAATATTTCCTGAAATTTGCTTTTTGGTTGGTAAAATATTGCAAGGTGACGAACTAGACTTTGAGTGGCCCCTGGTAATTACTTATGAAATCATTTAAAATTCGGGCTATTTTCATACTGCAGCTTGGCGTTTGCTATCCGTTTAATATGCTTGATAAATGAACTTGAATTAGTACAAGTGGATCTTTAGATTTGTATGTAGAAGGTCGAGATGTTTGCAAATGGCATATGAGTTCTATTTTGGAACATTACGTCATTACCTTGTCACTGTATCTTCTGATTGAATTGAGTGATCTAGAATTTAGTTCATACTGTGGAATATGGATAGCTCTAGAAATTGATTTTTGTTTAGTCCATTTATTTTAAGCTATTTTTTAAGTTTATTCTCAAAATATTTAATTTATAGTAGATAATCCATAATAATAATTAGCTTAATAATCTAAATCAAACGGGGCCTAAATGATAATAATTCACACCGTGTAATGCATATGCTCTCAACCACCTTCTTGTAAAATGCATGGAAGCTCACCAAAAGCTGTTTTCAAAAAAATTCTCTCTTGTAAATGATTGTGATATTTATGTTTTTCGAGATGATGAATATAATTGGTGGATTGGCTCGAGAATGTTTTTTATTTCCTTTGACAGGAACAATCCGTGTCTTGCAAGACAGGCACTACGTCAACAAGTTAAATAATTTCCTTGGTGTGGTACTCTTTGAAAACGTTATTACTGTAACAAAAGGTAGATGGGACTCCCTCAAATTTTGGTTCTGTGTGATTATATGAAGCTAGGGTCTGACCGCCTCACTGATCGTTAATCGATCTTGAAACAAAAAATGAAATCTGAAAATTATTTAGCACTTGAACAATTATATTATGTGTTTTATTTATTTTATTAGCAACGTGGATTCCACGTGCACACTTACTAGTATTTTAAAAAAGATGGAGTAACAAGCTTATTTCGTTTGTGATGATTCCCATACTTCACTTCCCTCATTTTTCGTCTGCAGGCTTCCTAGATTGCTAAATGGTACGTTTTTTTTAAAAAAAGTCTATAGAAAAGTTACTTTAAAATTTATATTAATCCATTCTAAATATTTTTAGCTAATACTTAATAATCGTACGCTAATTGATCACTCCGTTTTCCGTGAACGGGGATTAATTCCCGACCAACACCAAAAGAACACAGACTAAGAAGAGTGTAGAACAAAACAACCATTGGACATTAGCTATACACTGCTGGATGCCTCTTGCTGTGTACGTGTAGCACTTTATTTATATATTTATATAGTGGAAAAATAAATAAAATAAATAATAATCTGAGCTATTATTCGTGAAGCTCACGCGCACCTTCTCCTCTCCGCCATGGCCGCCGCTCGCTGCCTCCCGCTCCGGGCCTCGCCGCCGGAGGTCGCCAAGGCCTTCTCCTCCTCCATCCCTGCCTCCTCCTCCTCCTCCTCCTCCTCTTCCTCCACCACCACCGCGGCCGCCTCTCTCCCTCTCCGCGCCGCCGTTCCCCCGAGCTCCGGCCGCCGTATCCCGCCGCTCCGGTGCGCCTCCTCCTCCTCGTCGTCGCAGGGCTCCGCGTCGCCGGATATCGCCGTGCTCCTCGAAGTGGAAGGGTGAGCGCCTCAGAGACCACCTGGTCTTCTTGATTCTTGGTCTTGCGACCAAGAGAGTGCCCTTTAATTTTTTTATATATTCCATTTTCTAGCTTCAATTGATGTAGATAGAGCTACTATTTGTCTTATTATATTCATCTGGTTACAGAAAATTAAACCACGGTATAGAGATGCACAGGGTAGTTGTAATTGGCTATTGCTCTCTTATCAATTTCGAAATGCTTCATGTTCTGTACTTGTGTTCTTGAGAGAAGTCTCAATGTTGTTTTCATGAGCTTGGTTCAATTCAGTTGGTGATGCGCTCCTGGTATAGTTCAGCAATTCAAGACGGCTACACTGTCTGTGGAATTCTAATACCGCCTTCGATTAGTCTTGTAACTTTGTCAGGAACTCAGGATAAATGCGATTGCCTTGTGATGTACTACTACTAGTTACTACTTCCTCCATTTCATATTATAAGACTTTCTAGCATTGCCCACATTCATATATATGTTAATGAATCTAGACATATATGTGTGCCTAGATTCATTAACAACTATATGAATGTGGGTAATGCTATAAAGTCTTATAACCTGAAACGGAGGTAGTAGTTGCTTGGGACTTTGTTCTATTTTTGTGGCTTGTTCTTTCTGATTTTTTTTTCTCTGAGGACTCTTCATGATTGTGTGATAGAATTTCCTCTGTTTCTCCAGAGTTCTTGCAGATGTGTATCGCTTCGGCAATCGCCAAGCTTTCAATGTAGGTGCGAACAATGTAAATATGCTTCTTTGCTTAATGCAATTCCATTCCATATCTGTGATCATTTATCTGGTCTATGCGATGCCAATATACAAGTGCAAAGCATTGAATTATATTGACACCATTGGCCTGTGTAATAACCAACATGTGTTTTCTACAGAATAAAACTTGTTTGGTTTTAACAGAAGAAGTGTAACATATAGTGCTGCAGATAAGTAATTTTGTTGTCTGTCTTAATGCTTCTAGCACAATTTCTAACATATTTTTTCATCAGCATTTCAAAATCTTGGGCTGGATTGTGCAAATTGGACAGAGCCAATATATGCTGATTTAGTGAGGTGCATACTATACTCTTTAGCTTCATCAAAACTGGGACATGCGCTCTTTTGAATTGCACTGGATTTACTATTGGCATCAATGAATGTTTTCCCCTGCTATTTCCAGTCTCTATTATTTTCTATATAGTTCTCTTTACAAAGAATATATTTTGGACTTTACTGCATGAAAATCTATCATTCTCTTTTTGTTTTTTTATTTGTCTGAAGCTATGTAGTTTTTTAGGAAAGCTAGTGGCGACGAGGAAAGGATGTTGTTATTATTCTTCAACAGAGTACGCCTAGCTCTTCTCCTAGCTGTCATATTTGATCCAATAATACTATTGTTTCTGTTCTCCTTAAATCATTCATTGTGTACCACAGTACTATTGCAGAGCTGAATAATTTCATTTGTTGATTGATTGAGATATGCATGCATTACTTATTACTATCCTGTCCTCTGACTTGCACAGATTGGGTGGCCTACTTCTTTGCCAACTAACGAGAAAGAATCATTTATGAAAAGTGTTCTTCGTGAAAAGGTAGATACATACTTTACGCTATGCAGGTACTTAACAAGAAAAAACCACCATACTGGCACTAAAAAAAAATGAACTTTCTATTATGATTACCCATAGGCAGACTATCTTGAATTAGGGTTGATTGTATTTAGTTAAGAATCTCAATTCTCATGGCTGTATAGTCTCAAAATATTTCTCATGATGGACCATGCATTGTTCTGCTAATGGAAGATAAATGGCAATTTGAATTTTGGAACTTAGGCTTTTGCAGGGTTTAGCAGTCAGAAAACCATTTGCATTTGGGTATACCCTGAGAACAGGATTGCATATTAACCATCCAATGCACTGACTTTTATGATTGGTTCTGTTAATTTCTATTTGTATTTTGCATTTGATTTCAATCAACTTATGAGTTTTCTTCTATCGGGAGTCCAGATCAAAATGGTTGATGGGTGTTTTTTCGTCTTCTTTCCTATAGACCAAAAAATATCCTTCTACTGACTTGTTTACATGTGCTTCTTCTCATAGCTGAAAGCTTTGGAAGTGTTCTCAGCTTCTGATAGCTTACCACTGCGGCCTGGAGTTGAACAGTAAGTCTACCGTTCCCAGTTTATCTAATTTTCTATGAAGTATCTCTCTAGTGAAATAATTCCAGGATCATTTGGGTTATTGTTGATTGATATATCACTTTTAGGATCATTATAAATCATACTTCTAAGATATGATAACCATAGTGGTATGCAAGGTAGTTCTTTTGAGGGGCTTTACCAGAAATTTATGTGAGAATTTGCATTCTGCAAAGTATGGCAGACATGGTACCATAATTCAAAAGATCCAGTGTGTTTTTTTTATACCCATGCATCTTGCTTTATTTCCATCAATGCATGAGCATTTGTAAGCAATATCTTTCTGTTCTGTCGTTGTTTTGATCTTTTGTTCCTTTTTTTCTTTTCTATGCCATGAGCTTGCTTTATGAATTACTACTATCTTGAACTTTGGAAGTTACATTGTGTCTGATCTTGTGTATTAAACCATTCAAAGGTTCATTGATGATGCGCTTAATGAGGGTGTGCCTGTCGCCATATTGACAACATACGGGAGAAATGGAGAGAAAACTTCAAGGTTGAATTTGTATATTTATTGATTTTTTTCCCAGTCAACTCTTGTGGTTCTTCTCAAAATAAATAGAAATGAAACTTTGCACTTTGGGACATGCATGACACTGTCAAGATAATCTGGACCTGAATGACATGCGACAGTTTTAGTATATTATGTGCCTTCTACCTTTGAGTGCAGATATATCATTGAAAAATTAGGCCAAGAGAGAACATCAAAAATACATATTGTTGGGAAAGAAGAGGTTGAAAGAAGCTTATATGGACAACTTGTTCTTGGTGAAGGAGTAGCCTCCAGTTTGGATGAACAGCTAGTTAAGGAAGCACAAAAGGCTGGTTAGTATTTATTACTGACTGCAACAATTGAAGCCTTGCTCATGTATTTTAAGTGTCTGTAATGTTAAAAATTTTCCCCTGCGTGCTGTGTTACAGCTTCTGCAGAAAAGCAGAGGATAGCAGAAGAAGTTGCGTCCATTCTGAAACTTAGTGTTGATATCAATGCAGCGTCTAAAAGGTTATTATTGTTTGCTTATTCATAGGTTTTGTACTTTGATGAGAAATATATCTGAACTTCACACTGTTTACTTTGCATCATCAGCTCCGAGAAGATTATTGTCACTCTACGCGCTGGATCCGAGTATGTTGGACGGGACGTGCAAAACTGTGTTCTTGTCGCAGGTAGCCAATCTGGCGTTCTTGCAGCTGAGCGCATTGGTATGCCATGCATAGTTGTTAGAAGCAGGTAAAAGTCGATTTCACATACAATTTAGTCATCATTCCACTGCCTTAGGCCCCAATTTTTTGGTGCTTGTGTTTATCTTACCTGTGCCTGTCCTTCCCAGCCTAACCGCCAGAGCTGAGTTTCACTCTGCGAAGGCCGTCATGGATGGATTTGGTGGTACTGACTTGACCATATCGAAACTATTGAGCAAGAAGTGGTCTTGACAACTCGGCACTACATTGGAGTTGCCTGCTACTAGTTTGAATTTGTATGTAACCCATGGATTGGGTATATGTTACAACCAAAATGAGGCCTCTATGTAGTACATTGCAGAAAGAAAACTATGAGAAGCACAAGCTACTTCAGGCATCATTTTTTTTTTGGGAACAGAAAATGTACTGAACTCGCTGTACTTGGACGAGGCAATTGAACTCATTGTCTGGTTTGGTCTTTGCATAAAAGTGAGTAATAAGATGGTGATTTTTCATCAGCATTTCAAAATCTCGCACATCTGATTCCCTAACGGCAGAAAGCCATGACAAGCCCATGCTGTTTAATTTCATCTTCCTCTTATTTTTTTACAGCTTGATAAAATACTTGAACAAGGCAATTCATTTCATCTGATAGTGGTAGAATCATACAATTCAATTCAATTGTCATCATCCAATTCACCCACATTATGTTGTCAGATTGAGTCGTACCATATATCTTACCTACCTGTTAGAAAGATATATGCATATGATAATTTGTCTCCATTATAGTGAAGATATATGATATGAGTCCTTTATCCCAATATATACATACACTGAAGTGTAATTCGTCAAGTTCAGAAAGAAACCACACTATATTTTGCTTCATTCCTCCTTCCAATGCTATTGATCAATCTGCTCGATATATGATTGTTCACCTCTTCTTCAGTTCACATCCTTGGCTCTACACTACTACGAATAGGCATGGAAGGCATCTGGAAATTTTTAGGTGCGAGGCACAGATCTAGAGCTACAGAATATGCAGAATAAAACCTATAAAACCCATTAGATCCCTCCAGAAAATCCATACTTGCAAAATAAATTGCAATGTAAAGCTGAAACTACAAGATGGTATGCCTGCAATATTTTTTCACACTGCCAAGTCATGTAGAAAATGGTAGTACTCCTATTTTACTCCTAATGGCTAATGGTAATAAATGGAAGAGGATCCAAATTCTTTTACTCCTATAGTACTACCATCATATATGCATGCTAGCTTAGCTCCTGCTGCCAAGGTTCTGATCTGAAGTCCTGAACTAGTGAAGTTGATTTTGCTATATCATCATGATCACCACATTGTGTTGTGTGACATGCAATCTCCATTACACCCAAGCTCTAGCTCTAGCTCTCTGTAGGCATGAAAGGAATCCTGAACTTGGTAATATCATCAACACATTTTGACTTAGACGATGACATTCTTCGCACTTCATAAAATTCGTCATTGGTTTCTTTTCCCATGGCATCCAGTGCTTCCTTGTAAACGTCATCGTTTTGTTGGCTATCTATAGTTAATCACCACATGAACTCAAACTACTTGTGATGGAAACAGGCGCCGTCTGATCATCAACACTCTGTTTCCTGTGTACTTGAAAGGTGAGTGCTTGGCATGTCCCAGCGAGTCTCCGTCGATTAGTATCAGAGCTAGGTAGTTAGTACTTCTCTCGCAGGGAAATGTGGAGTAGATGATGGCTGGCTAGCTTGTTACTGGTTTGTTGTTCTAATCATCAATGATTAATTACATCTGATTAATCGTATGTGTATTTGCATATATTTTGTTTGGCATCAATTGAAGTTGAGTGGGCATTCTTCCATGTTTTCTTCCCTGACCCTGATTGTTAAACATATACTAGTAGTATCTTGCATCATCAATCATCATTAATTTCTGAATATGGTCCACTTTTCCAGTACAAATAAAACCACCTTGTGTTTAGTTTCTAACAGGGCATGTCCTCCCCTAATGGTTCATAGTAATAATAAATGGAATAGTATTCAAATCCTTAACTCCCCCAGTATCAAGTACTATACCATCAATCATAGTTCAGCATGCTCCTCCTGCCAAGCTGCTTATTAACTTTGTCAAGATGCTGAGAAGAAGGGAAATTTGGGGATAAAACTCTATACATTGAGATAGGCTTGCTCAAAGGAGCATATAAATGTGCACAATAAACATGAAAATAACTAGAATGCCCTTGCTAACCTTAACAAAATTTACTCTATCATCATTGTCAGCATATTGTCTGACACACATCTCCCCTGCTTCAGGCATATGCATTGCATACAAGAAATATACTGGAGTATACAAGTAGAACAGTGTAGCTGCTCCCAGCAATGCTCATTCTGCTTCGAAACCTTTCTCATATGCAAAATCACTGCATGTGTAAATACAATCGCCATTGCTAGTTGTTGCTGTAGCTAGGCATGGAAGGCATCTGGAAGTTGACAATCACATCCTAGTCTCATCTTCTAGAGGATGACATGCTCTGCACTTGATGACACTCATCTGTTGTGACTTTTCCCATGGATCAGTTTTCTCGTTTGATTCAAGTAGCTGCTTTATCTTCGTGTCTTCCTACTGGCTCCACTTTTGGTATACGATCATGCTATCACAGGAGGAGCAGGATACTATGCGCAATAGTGCTATACTCTTGGAATCGGTAGCTAAGGGTCTCTTATTCCACTATTGGTGGCGTAGTTCCATTAGAATTGCTAGCTAAAAAAATTTTATGTGGTTTAACGCTAGTCAATAATAAAGGGGAATTGAGGATTTGTCCCATCACTTTATTTCTCATTTTGATTTACTTTTACCTTACCTTTTTATTACTATAGAGAACTTTTACGGTACAATATACTACCAGTATATACTGGCAGTATATAGAAGGGCATATTAGGAATTTGATAGAAAATAAAATAATACTTTAGTAATTTTTGATTCAGATTGAATCTAATTGGGAGTACCCGGTCCTAGATCTTATCGTGCACTAGGGGAGGAGCATCCTGATCGCCATTTGATGACAAAGCACGTGACGATAGCACGATTTGATGATAGAATAACGAAAGAAAAGACAAAATTACCCTTTCAAATTTTATATTGCAATCTAATTAACTAAAATATCAAATCAATATACACCGTTAGATCATATATACTTGCAGTATATACTAGCAGTTCATTGTACCATAAAAGTTTTCTGTGGCTGTGTGTCTTATGACAGAAGCCGGGGATGTAATCCATTTTCATTATCTAAAAAAATCAAGTAGCTGCTATTTGATGGTACTTATCTGTTGTGACTTTTCCCATAGATTAGTTTTCTCGTCTGAATCAAGTAGCTGCTAATTTTCAGGATGCCTCGGTGTTATTCAGTTTCTTGCATATATCAACAACCACGCGGGATGCCTCGGTAGGATGCTTGAACCCCATCAATTGCAAAGAGAGAAACAGGCATGTACTCTGAAAATAATCGATCAGTGATCTTTGTTCCTCTGTTTCTTGGATTAGTGAATGCATGACATGTGATGTACCCTTAAGACCTAGTGAACTCTTGTTGAAACAAATTGTATTTCAGAGCTAACTGAGTTCTTCTCAAAATGGAGCATGCAGTACAGTTCATCTGATAGTGATAGAACCACACAGTTCAGTTCAATTCAATTCAGCTGGGAGTACCATCCAATTCACCCACATTATGTTGTCAGATTGAGTCATATCAATTATCTTACCTTATCTATTGTTCTAGGTCCTTTATCCCAATATATATATATTGAAATGTAATTCCTCAAGATCAGAAAGAAACCCCTATATGTATAGTGTGCTTCATTTCCTCCTCCCTCCAACGCTACTGATCACCTAGAGGCTAGAGAAATCTTCTGAATCGATTCATCTGATAAATCATCACCTCTTCTTCAGTTCACGTCCGGTTCTACGCCTCTACTACGAATGGGTATGGAAGGCATGAGGAAGCTTATAGGTGCCTTGGGTGAACTTCTCTCAGAATAAAATATGCATATCAGAACTTATAACACCATAGATTCTACTCCACGGTAATCTTCGTGGTGCGGCACCCATGGAGGCCGGGAATACAGTTCTCACTTCTTTGAGAACGTGTTGTCGCAAGTGCCGGTGGTGATTGAGAGAATCATCCAAGAAGCTAGGCCAGCAATGAGATTGCATAAGCTGTTTCGGGCAGAGTTTTTTTGGAACAAAAAAAAAGTACTGAACTCGATATAGTTCATCGCGGCAATTGAACTCCTTCACAAGTTGGGTTTGCGTCCTCTACCCAATGTTTGAAATTTCGGTTCAAAATTTCTATATTTCAGTAATTTCGGACCCCTTTGGCATGAACTTTTTCAACAGAAATTTTCAATTCTTTTGAATAGTCAAATTTTGGTCAAATTCAGTCAAAATTTATTCACATTAATACAAATTTCATTCGAAATTTCCCTGGGTAAATACGCAAAACGAAATTTCAAACCTTGTCCCTACCGTGAGTAATAAGATGGTGGATTTCATCAGTGTCTACATAAAATCTGTCACATTTTATTCCATAACTTGCATCAACTCAAAAAAAAAAAAAACTTGTTACACTGCAGAAAGCCATGACAAGTATATGCTGTTTAACATTTTTTTCGCTAGGCCACATGCCATTGTACTCAGTTCATCTGATAGTGGTAGTGGTATAGCACACAATTCAATTCAATTGGCACAATTGAATTCACCCACATTATGTCATCAGATTGAGTCCCTATCATATACTCTCTCCGTTTCAAAATGTTTGACACCGTTGACTTTTTACCACATGTTTGACCGTTCGTCTTATTAAAAAAACTAGGAAGGTGGCCCGCGCGCATGCGCGGGCACTTATATTATTGAAAGATAAGATTATTGTTGTTCAAAAATTTTGTCTCATAGATTAAGGGCAAACTAAAGCTCGGATAATGTCATTTTATGATTATTTAAGGGTTCTATTTTTCTTAATGTATCTTAAAAAACCATTCACAAACTTTGAGTAGGAGATGAATTAAGTACTTACGACTTTTGAATCATTTTTTTCTCGAGTAAATAATAAACTATTGCTAGTTAAATATCATACAGGCCATTCATATACATACCGTGTTGTATGGCCACAAATGAAAAATACGAGAGCAAGATACTCAAAATTCTTGTGATAAATTGTCTCATGAAGGCGCATGATATAGTAGGAAAGGGGGGAGGGGAGTGTATGCATAGAAAGAAAAAGAAAGGGAAAAATGAAAAAAGGGATGGAAAGCGTACGTACCCACGTACGTAGGTGCGTACCTATGCCAGGGGATGAGAGGTGGGACCTTGCAGTATTTAGTTTGCTCTAAGATCAATTTAATATAACGGTTTATAATATTGGGCGTACCGATTTAACCGAAAATCAAGTAATGGATACTTTGCTTTTCTTTCCATAGAATTTCTAATATTTCCTCTAATTTATTAGAGCACCACGTGACAGCTTG